CACACACCTATACATGGCGGGGGGGGGGAGGTATCACTGTCCTTAGAAGATGTTGCTGAACACAATTTGGGGTGTTCTTTGGCAGTAACCCTTATATTTCTCAGTACATGTATTCTTAAATTGTTATGTGTGTCAACAAAATTACCAATTTTTTTACATTTGGCATAGATTGGTGGTAAAATGGTTGCATGAAAAGAGTCAAAATACAACAAGTTTAATACCTTAGCTTGTCTTCTTTTAAAAAATATATAGATGTGAAGGGTTATTCAGGGATTCCTGACAGATACCAACTTGTGATTGATGAATGATGAAAATAATGGTATCTTTAGAAAGACCATTTAATGGCGAGAAAAGGGTATATAATATGTGTGGGTACAGTAAATGAGCAAGAGGAAAATTACAGCTAAACACAAACACCGCAGAAATGTAAAAAGTCTGGTCACTAAGAGGTTAATGTCTAGTGCCCAAAGGCTAGTCCAAGTTCAAAATAAAGTATTTTATGTTAGTTCCTTTTGGAACTTTATGTCCTGTGTGGGTTTGTTCAGGAATCCCAGTGACAGATCCTATGGACTTATTGGCTGGGTGCATGGTCCCTGTAGCTAGCCAGGGACAATTGAAAAAGAGCTAGGTCTGAGAGCCACAACTGCCTTTATAAAAGAGCTGAAATCACTATAAGTAGAGTAGTTGATACCTGATTGGGAGAGGAACTGAGAGGCAGAGGGGACAATACCTGTCTGAAAGAAGAAAGCTGCAATCTGGTCGGTTGGAAGAGTTCCAAAGAGAACCCAGGCAAGCTTCGGTAGCTGGAGCCAGTGGCGGATCAAGGGGGGGGGCAACGGGGCAATTGCCCCCCCCCCGAGAAATCCGACAGTCTCCCTCCCCTGCCAGCACATGCAGGTGCTAGCCCTGCAATGTGCCTGCGGACCGGAGGGGAGATCACAGATCTCCCTCCCCGGTCCGCAGGCACCATCCTGGCGGCCGGCGGGGGAGGGAGGGAGTGAGAGAGGACCCGGGAGCTCAGGCTGCAGCTCCTCCGGATCCTCCTCTCTCGAGATTTGGAGCGTTGCCGCGGTTACCACGGCAACGCTCCAAATCTCGCGAGAGTGAACTCGAACCCGGGAGCGCGGGCTAGAGTTCACTCTCCCCACTGAAACCACCAGGGATTCCCCCACCGGACCACCAGGGAAATGTCCCCCCTCCTCCTAAATAAAGGTAAGAAGGGAGGGGGGACATAGAATATTTAAATTAAAAATTCAAATAAAAAATATATTTTTTTTTAAAAAAGCCCCCCTACCCTTATCACAAACACACTTTACACACATACACTGATCCCCATACTGCCCCCCCATACACACACATTGCCCCCACACTGCACCTTATACACACACATTGCCCCCCCATACTGCCCCCCATACACCCATACTGTCCCCCCATACACACACACTGCCCCCCCATACACAC